TTAAATCATTATTTTCAATTTCTCACTTATTTTATACTTCCTTATTCGATAGAAATGAAACAAATTCAAATCGATTTAATAATTGATAATTTACTTCAAACGAATCGATAAAATATTACTTACAACATCAAATTTTCACTCAGACTCACGATGATTTCCCTCCGTACTTTCTTTCTCCCATGGTCCATACCCATATACTATTCGAACAGAAAAATAAAAAGGGAACGAACAAATAATATGTATGAAAGGAAAAAAAAAAAAGAGAGAAGAATAAAAGAAGGAATTCGATTTGTAAAACTGGTCTGGTTAAATAACGCCGTTTCCACGCCTTTTACTTTTATATCGAATCGATGGTAAATGTAGAAACTACATATTCGTCTGTACAATTATATCTTTTTTTGCTTTTCCTTTTTTTTTTCTTTTGTTGTTGATTCATATTGAACCGAACGAAACGAGATCAACGGTGATGCATCAACCATTTCCGGTTTAACTAACATCAAAGAGTTGCATAATAAAAAATGGTATTTTTAAAGAGTTACGCAAAATAAATATGTTAGTTATCTCGAAAATGATATACGAATTCTTTTCATACAATACGTAATTAAAGATTTAATTAAATCAATGATAATATTAAATAAAAGAAAGAGTCAAAAAAAAAAAATAAATGTAATGAAAATAAAGAGAAACATTGGAAAGGTAAAAAGAAAAAGAAGGTAAAAAATGTTAACGAGGAAAATACATCAATTCGTTTTATAATATATATAATATAATCGTAATTTCAACTTCATTAAGTCAACGATAGGTATAATAAAAATAATTAAAAAAATAAATGTAACGAACAAAACCAAAAAGAGAGAGAAGAATTTACGAGACACAAAGGAATAATCGTAATTTTAACTTCATTAAGTCAACTTAATAATAAATATAATAAATATAATTAATAGCATATAATTAATAAACATAAATAGTAATAATATAATAAATATATATATAATAAATTTAATAAATATAATTATATAATTTTATTGTATTTTTATATAAATAAATATTTATATATATTTATAATTTATATAAAAATAAATATATAATTAAAAATAAATATAAGTAATTATATTTATTATTAAGTTGACTTAATGAAGGTATAATAAGAATAATTAAATAATTAAACGTAACGAAGAAAAAAAAAATAGAATTTACAAGATACAAAGTTCACACAAAGAAATGTCATCGAAAAATATATGCGAATTTTTTTTCTCGATAAAATTATAATTTCAGTTTTGTTAAATTAACAATAACATATAGTAAGAAAAATAAATGTAATGAAAATAATGTAGAGTATTCGAATGATACAAGAACAGATTGACAATTAAAAAATACCATTTGAAAGAAGTCATTTGTCGTCCAACCACATTTGTATGCATGAGTGCATTTATATATATATAGAACTTATTCAATATGAGATGTCAAGTGCAGCGATTTTGTAATAATTTTTATCTTTCAAGTTCTTTAAAGATTCTCTCTCTCTCTCTTTTTCTTTTCCAAAAATATTTATATACATTTTCAAAAAAAAAAGAATAAAAGGTAAGTTCTCCATTTTGCCAGAAATTGGATTTTTACTAGAAAGATAGACAAATACAAATATATAAAATCCATAAAATACAATTGAAGAATTTTGCAGAAGTGCATCATCTCGATTTCCAAATACGACCTTGTTTATACTCTCTCTCTCTCTCTTTCTCTCTCGTTCGATAAATGCAATGTATCGGACGCGTGCGAGTGAGAAAAATCAAGTTCGAAGAGAGTAACAGTAACAGCAATGGTACATCGTGCTACCATCATACCATGACTCACTAAATCGAATCTTCAAGAGACAGATTCTCGATCGGGGTAAAAGCGTTTCAACGAAAATTCGATCCTTCGATCCTTTTTTTTCTTTTTTTCTCATAATCCCTTAACTTCGTGAAAAAAAACTTCCAATAATCCGTCTCTAGATTTTAAAAATAATTTTTTTATTTATTCGATTATACGAAGATGATCCATTTTAATCCATAACTCACCAAAATACGAAAATGCAAAAAAAAAAGAAAGTAAATTAACTGTATAACTATATTACTATATTCACACTAACAAAATAGAACTATTTTTGCAACAATTGTTTGTATAAAAATTATTTTATATCATTAATAATTAATTTAAAATACAATTTTAAAACTTTTTATTATTTTCATGAAGCGCGAAATTATATATAAAAATAAATAATAAAATAATTTTTATTTTTTTCACGAGGTACGATCAGATGATTTTAACGAATATATTTCATTCTGAAATTGAAATTATTAAAAAAAAAAAAGAATTTAAGAATGCGTCCTAAAAAATAGGCCATTGGCAAGTAATTGGTTAATATTAGGTTTCTCGAAAGATGTGAACTCCCCCACCACCCTCATGACATTTTTGATTAATATTTTTTTGCCCCTTTTCAAAGGAAAAAAATAAAAAGAAAATAATCTAAAAGAAAAAGATAAAAAATACATTTGTGAAAAAAACGTGATAGGAAAAAGATTTGCAACGATACAAAATAAATCGATAAAAATATCGACACGTCTGATCGAGATCGTAAAATTTTGCGGATGATTCCCGTAAGAAATCATGAAAAAGATTCACAGGAAAGTAAGATTAGGTAGCAATAAATATAAACGTTTCGATTCATCCCTCCCCCGCCCTATTTTATTGCTATCGTATTTCAACTTAGTATTTCTTAGAAATGTTCGTACCTTTTTTCACAGGAAAACGTGAAAGAGAGAGAAAGAAAAAGAGAGAGAGGATCAATCGATTCATCTTTTGTGGTTGAAGATTTTCCTCGTATAGGGAAAATAAGTGGAAGGATATCTAATGTTTTATTGTACGCTATATTCCATTACAAGAGACACGGACAATTTCTTTGATTTTCTTTTTTGCTTTTCTTTTTCATCTTCTAACTCACTTCTTAAAACATAATCCGTTCCTTTTTTTATGAAAAAAAGAAAAGAGGAAAAGCTTTCGAGAGATGCACATGATTCTCACCCTTCGTATCTACTACTACTACTACTACTACTTCTACTACTACTATTATACTTGGTGAGTCGAGAAATAGCGAAACTAAATTGCGACACGTTTTTCAGAAAGCATTGAGAGTAATTTAAATAAAACGTACCTTCGCGGATACGTTATACACGGTGAATATAAATCGTTTTGGGAAGTGAAATTCCGGTGAATCTCGTATGTTGGGCGAATATACACGCGTGTTTTTCCTTGGGACCTTCTACAACTTTAAAAAAAAGAAAAAAAATCCAAGAAGAAGAAAAGGTTGAGATGGTTATCGCGAGAAACTTGCACAGCATGTAAGGTTTGTTTTTTTCTTTTTTTTTTTGTTAAAAAGGGTCTTTCGATTCTTTACTTCAAACGAAAAGAACTTGAAAAATGAAGGTAGGAAGGAAAAATGAAAAAGAGGAATAAAAGGAAGAAAGAAGATCTTAAAAGGAATAATATGAACTATTTCGAAAAAATGTATTTTTCTACTAAATCGTACATGTAACTGCGTATTATTTACTTAATAGCTCAGAATGTGTCTCGTGTACCTGTGCAGCAAGCAAGAAAAATAAAAAGAAACGTCGTAAGATTGTTATGTCGTGAAGAAGAAAGAAATAAAGATAGAGGAAGAACTCTCTTGGGATATTGACTCCTTAGTCAAGTAAAAGCCCTTAAATGGTAAATAGAGACTAACACAACAAATTGGATATTTAACTTTAGACGGAAGAGGAACTCAAATATTATCGAGATTAAACGTTCTTAACTCTTTTTTTTTTCTTTTAATTCATCGCTCTGATCGAATTGAAGAAAAATCTCTTTTATTTCGTCGTTTTTTCTTTACGTTTCAGACGATCTCGCTAAGTATTTCAAAAACGGCCGGCTTTCTACGATGTAGGTAAAATACTTTCGAAATTCGTGAAAACGTAGCGATAAATAACTCGACGTACGATAACGTTCCTTCACGATTTCGCGTGTCTCGTTATATCATGAATACGATGGGAACCTGATTAAATCATTCGATCGAACGATTTCTAGTTTCACGGACAAAAAACAAGAAGAAGAAGAAGAAGAAGAAAATAAAAAAAGAAATAAGACGAATTATGTAAATGGCCCGATTTAATTTAGCAGATACATAAGTGTGTATATCTTTATCTTTGTTCTTTCTTCCGTTTCTTTCTCATTTTGTTCTCAACTCTCATCTCATTCGTCGTTTCCTTGCTATGACACAACAGGGCTGCATGAAAGTGAAGGGACGAGAGAGAGAAGAACACAAACACACACTTCTTCCTGTTCTGTACATTTCCAAGAAAAAATTGGGAGGGGCTCCAAATTGGAAGATACGTTCGAGATAGAATCGTGAATTGTGAAAGGTGATCACCTGTCTTACGTTATTAACGATTTACAAATATTTCATCACTATAGATAGAGAAATTCAAATGTTTATTAGAAATTGAATGAAATTCTAGAATATTTAATAAATAATTAAGTATAAAATATTTCTAGTCATTTATTAAATCTATTTTCACTAAAAAAATTAACATTTTGAAAATAAGTGTTTTAACAAGGCAAGGAAATAATAGGGAATTATTAGTTCGTCAATTCTTACCAAAAAAAAAAAAAAATAATGCGAAAAAGGTGAAGATTTACGATTTACCGTTTATAGTCGTAAATCATCGATCCATCTTACACTAAAGTATTACGTATACTTTTTATGTCACGAAATTGAACCAGTTTCCTTTGAATTTTGCGCACCTTTACGTTAGCCGGTGTTACGTATTATTTTGGTAAGAATGAGATGGAGCAGTGTGAACCAAAATCAAGAGAAGCAGCAGCTATCGTATACTCGGTATAGGGCGTGTGGTTGCTCCAGTGAAAGTAAAATCCTCTTTCTCCTGGTAACGCATTGCCATCTGGTCAGTCAGGCATATAAAAAGCGCGAGTCGACTGAAGGATGACACACTCAAGTGGACACAACGCAAGAGTAACAACAATGAAAATCTTACTTGTACGTACGAAGATTAATTCTATTTTATATAGAAAAAATCGATTTATAAATATTATAATAATAATTAAATATAATAATATGTTTTAATTCTTTAATTATTACAGATCTGTCTGTTAGCCACGGCTGTTTTAGCCGAGAAGAAACACGACAAACGTGGTACTCTTCTAGGTGATTCTGGTTACTCCAGTGGTCTTGGTTTAGGTGCATACAGTTCTGGTGGATTGAAATCTGGTTTATATTCTTCTGGTATAAGTTCTGAGCTTGGTTACGGATATGGTTCTGGACTTAGCTCTGGATTCAGTTCTGGGATTAGTTCTGGATTTAATTCTGGATTATCATTAAGCGGAGGAAACGTAGGAGGCGGATTCCTAGGAGCTAGAGCCGAACGTATCACCGGTGTCACCGTTCATCGTGAAGTCCAGGTTCCAGTACCAGTACCACATCCGGTGCCAGTTGAAGTTACAAGAACCGTACCCGTACTTCATCCTGTTCCAGTTAAGGTTGATCGTCCTTACCCAGTACCAGTACCTCATCCAGTTCCAGTTCCCGTTACTCGTCACGTTCCTATTAAAATCGATCGTCCTTATCCTGTACCAGTACCTCAACCAGTCGAAGTCCGTGTACCTCAACCCATTCCTGTTCCAGTTATCCAGCCAGTTCCTATTTCGGTTGGTCCATCCTATTCCTTGGGTTCTACCGGTGGATTTTCCGGTGGATATTCTAGTGGACTTTCCGCCGGATTCTCAGGTGGTTACTCCGATTTTGGATCAAGCTTGTCCAGTGGACTCAGTTCCGGAGTAGATGTCAGCATCGGTCATGAATACTCCTCTAGCAGTGGTAGTGGATCGATCGGAGGAGACGCTGGTGGATACTCTTATCCTGCCCCATCGAAGAAATGGTGAACTCTCTCTGATGAAGCTACGTTTTAATGCAGCATAGAAATTTAATTTTTTAAGAATCGAAAACTAAGTACCTTTGTACGTTTTGCTTTTTTAATCAAGCATCGTACGATTTTTTAACGTAACCATTTTTGTTGGATTTAATAAATAAATTTATTTTGTTACGATACACGATGTCTATTTTTCCCCTCTTCTTCTTTATATCTCAAACTAATGTTTGAATAAGGTTAAGAGAGAATTGTTGTTGGTTAATCAGTTTATTGAAAGAAACAATATGGTTAACATAGCTTAAAAGGTAATTACGTTAAACTAATTACTTAGATTGTATGAGCTAATTTACTTTAAGGAACATGCCATAAACGATAAGCTGGAGAAATCGAAGTCAAAACTATTTTGGCTTAGAGAACTCTAACTGTTGGACAACGAACGTTGATAAACTGAGAAAGTTTCTTGCATTGTTTGACGAATAAATTGAAAACTACGAATAAACGCTTAATTCGTGTAATTAACTTCAATATTCTAAATAGTTCGAAATACTTTAAATGTAGAAAAAGAAGAAGTAGTTCAACATTGAACAACGCATTAATAAAAAGATCATTGATCATCTAAAAAGAAAGATATAAGTTTCAGTAAAGTACCCATAAAAATGGCGGGTGTAAAACCATTGTAAGTAGATGGTGAAAATCCTTATGGTCGATTTCTCATAAGCCAGAAAATTTGAAACGCGAGGAACGACATTCGATAAAATACAAAAGGAAAAATTTCATCCCAATATGAAATGCACTACAATCGAAATTGGAATTTTGCGGTTGTATTAAAACAGAAAAGTACCGAAGAGCACACACAAACATGTACATTTTCAATTATACATAATGAGGAAAATGTTCGTAGTTCGATTGGTCGATGCAAAGTTCGCGTGTGTTAGTATTACGTCAGCAAAATTCCTTTCTCGTCATATGAAGTCGGCAAGCTCAACATAAATCGGGTCAGGCCGCACTGGGAATGAGCTTTACTATCTCTCTCTCTTTCTCTTCCTTGAGCTTCATTTTTATTTTATTTTATTTTTTTTATTTCTTTAATATTTTTTTTTTAAATTGGATGGATAATCAAAAGAAATAGTGCATTTTTATAGCGAAGCTAAATATATCTTTAAAATCTTAAGCATAAGATTTATAGTCAAGAGCGTTTAAAGTGTCACGGTTCGTGTAAAACCAGTAAAACCGAGCTCTTAATGAAAAATTCATACGAAAGTACCCACACGTTTGTTGTGTTTCCCCCAAGCAACTACTAACTCACGTTGGATATATTTTACTAATGTATGTATGCAAATACTACGGATGTTCTATCTTAATTGGTGTGCCTTCAGTGATATAACTATATAACAAGTGGATCAATAATTCAAGTGCTTTGTGAAAGGGCTTACGTTTATTCGTTACAGATGGCATCGCAAGCTTAAAAGTACACTACTCAACGGAAACATATCCCACCCGATAAAAATACAAATACAATTCGCGAGAATGTATTTTCATCTCATCAAATTTAAATGGTAGATAAAAAATTATTATATATATGATGAATTTGTGTCAATCATGTAAGATCGTTATATCTTAAACTTATCGACGTGGAATGAACAACTATCGTTGGAAATAATATCCTACTGATGATAAGGTAGTTCTTTTCAAAAATTAATTGCAGAACGAGTACCTTCAAATGGTATTGCAGAATTCTACTATATGTTGATAACATTATACCAACAACAGGTAAATATCTGTGTAAAATTTATTTTTTTATCTTATTCATTTAAAAAAGAAAAAATATTATTTAAAAAATTATCATGTGTTTGTATGTTCTGATAAAACAATTATACGATTTACTTACATGTACTTAGTCCTATCCTTTCACTTAAAGCAAGTATTATGGTAAACTTACCTGAAACACAAAATAAAAAAAATATTAATAAAAACAATTAAATTTGATTGCATATGTTTAAGTACTATATATACATATATATATATACAATAGACTATCAATAAATTCGATGACTTAATGTACTATTCTGAAAAAATAGTTCGTCGTAACTTTTCCATTAAGCTAATGGAAGAAAACAATTTTCACGATGAATCGTTTAGAAGACAGATAGAATGAAAACGAAGCCACGCTATGTGAATACAAAATGAGAGTCTACCCATTGGATGAATACGATGAAGGTACACACGTCTCATTGAATTACTTAATGGATCTCAAACCGGAAGATCCTCGATTGTAGAAATTACAATGAAATACGTTGTACCAATGTTATAGAATAAAATGAATTCTTAACAATTCTTAAAATACACTGGGGAACAATTTGATTCTATTATTCTGTTAGATATACAAGACTAAGTCTACAAGAGAGTATATTATAAATAAATATCGATCAATTTTATTTGAATAAAACTTACAAAAATAAACAAATTTTACATCAAAGAAAAATGAACTAAAAAGAAAAATAAGTAAAATACGTCAAAAGGAATATTTGTCAAATAAATTTTCTGAAATCAACTTTAATATAGAATTTCAAAGGGATTATTACTCGATATTGACCGTTGCATAGATGATGAATATTTGCATGAAACATAGTTTATTCGTGTATACCGAATCGTGTAAGTGGATGTGTGTGTGTATAGAATTATCCCTACGATAGTTTCAGAACTCGCTAACATCTCGAAATATCATTCTCTCTCTTTCTCCCTCTCTCTCTATTTCTCTCTGCTATTTAACCTTATTCGATATGCGTACAGGTACCAACGCCATTCAGTTTGATCCATTAGTATATCAAAAACTTATATGCAAACGATGCTAATTGAACGTTATTACGATTCGCGTACTATATCAATTAATTACTCGAATACCGAGAAGATTTTATCTAAATCAACCATATATCAACTTGCTCGAACGATACGTATTATATATATATATACATATATGTAACTGCATATATATAATGTAATAATTTATTCGATATGTCAAGAACTGAACACTTTATACCCTACAGAATAGTAGAATACAATCATATAAGTATACCGATATATATTCGTATGCTAATAATTATTTCAACGTAGCCAACCAGACGGACAGTGAAACGACTCAATAATTTACCCATCTTGCTGATCGTACGCTATAAGTTCCATGTATATATAATATATTTTCAAAGGATATATATACAAAATATATATAAGAAAAAATTTCATTTGAATTTTTATCGAACGATTTCGTATTACTTTTTTACTCTTTTATACAAGTAGTATAAATAAAAAAATGTAAATTTAATATAAATACTTATAATATATAATATATTATATATTATAATATAAACTAATATAAACTATATATTATTTTATATAGTTATATATATAATAAATAATATATTATATTATATATTATATATTACTTATTATTTATACTAAAATATTATAATTGTATTATTTATTATTATATATTATTATTATATATTATATATAACTATAATATACACCTAAGTACTTATAATATAAAATATAAGTACTTAAGTGTACTTATTCCATTTTTTAAGTAATCGTAATAAATATATTAGCTTCGATAAAAAAATATAAATATAAAGATAAAAATTGATAACATTTGCCAAAATCCATAGTAATACTTCAATTTTTTTATCGGTTTCATATTTACCTAATTTATTCTCGATATAACATATAGCTTGCTTGCATATAAAGAGGGCTGTTAATGTTTCTCATTGAATTATAAATTTGTTTAAATAATCGTATCTGATGTGAGAGACACCATCATGCAGGATCGGTACATAACACGTATATTATACGCATATATTGCATTTGTTTGTCCATTACTATATACAACAGCTCAACCATTCCTGGTGGTTTACCACCAGCGTTACTCAATATTTCTGTGTTATTTTTAAATATTCTTTTGATATCGCGCACCATCTGTTCGAAAATAAACGCTCGATATTATCATGATTATCATCGTTTTAATAAATCCTACATTTTTGTATTTACATATATTATACATGCGTATATAAATATAACATACATAAATACATATAATAATAACAATCTCAAAGTATTTTCATATGGTGGAAAATTTATTTTTCGTGATCATTTGAATACATTTTTTGAAATTAACTAAATTACGTTTCACTCACGTTAACCTATAAATCAAGATAAGTGTGGTCAAATTTTTACGAACGACTTATTGCATTTAAACCGTTTTTTTTTCACGATATCTTTTGTAAATAAAAAATACATGAATATTAATTGAAAATTAAAAATTAGTTAGATTACTGACGTATTTATTCGATCGTATATCGAGATGTGTAAAAGCTCGTTTGATTTCTGATAAACGTGACAATGAATAAATCACTAAAAGGTTTAAAGAATTCGATTTAAACATTTCCTCCCACCCCTCAACTAAAGTATTTTTTATACTAAAGATATTTCTTCTTAACTTCAATTAATTCTTTTTTTCTTCTCTCATTATTTGTACATTTTCTTCGTCCTTTTCTCAATTTTTGTAAAAAACGTTTTAAACGATTTAAACGAAATGAACGAAACTTCTCTTCCTCTTGTTTCCACTCTTCGTGTGAAAGAGAAATCAAATACTTTGAATTAGGAGAACTACACATCATTACATTGGGGTAGTTTAAATTTGAGGTATTTCCGTTTTACGCTTTAAATCGAAAAATCACCGGACCAAAATGGATTAGTTTCTATAAAACGACGAAGAAGAAGAAATTTCGAATTTAACGTAAAGTCGATTGCTTTTCATTTTCGTCCTATATCGTGTAAGTTAAAGTCCATCACTTTTACCAATTTATCATGATCAGTCCTGTCTTTCATTTTTAATTTTTTTTTTTCTTATTAATCATTTTACCGAGATAAAAATATATCTTTTATGAAGCTATCCACGTTTTTTTTTTATGTATCCATAGGTATTGATGATAGAGACAATGGATTGTTACGATTGGATGT